GACAGCCCCAGCCAAGTCACACGCTTTTATGACACCAATGTGGTGAGCGGCAAATGGCCCTTATTGCAAGCAACACACTCTTCTTATAGTTGTCCCTTATATCACAGTGCTACCAATCATCCTTGCTACGGTTATCTGTGCCCAATAGACATGTGGTATGTCTTGTCTTGCCATGTCTCATCATGGTTTTCTTATGAGTCAAGGAGAGTCAAGCAGAGCCTGATGACTGTTACAGCCCCCCTTTCACGTATTTGCTAACCACACAAGGGGCCCACACAGATTACGCCTGGTTATGCCTGATGACCTTGACAGCCCCCGCTTTACGTATTTTGTTGACTACATCTCTAACTTGAGTATTTTGTTAACTACAGCAGGCATGAAATAAGTGGGGACCTAGGTGATCTTTTAAATTCTAAGCAGGTAGGCTGAGCTGAGAGGTAGTCACTCTGCTACCTGAACTGGGAAACTTTCTTTGTTGCATGCATGAACTGTTTTGCACAGAAATTTTTCATGTTACCAGGGAGACGGTTTAGTACTTCCAACTCAAGGAAGTCACTGGAGCATATATACTTTTCTGAAATATCTTTGAATACCCCAGTTTTCTATGTCAGAGTTTCTATAGAAAGAAGGAGATAGATCTTGAAGACATAGTAGAAGATGGAAAATCCTTGAATATCCAAATAACTATTATCTGATTTAGCTGCTGAGGCAGAGGCTGCGTTACCATCCTTCTGATGAGGAAAGGGTCTCGATCATTTACTAGGTATGGAAATACCGTACCTGAGTGGGGACTGCATTATTAACATGAGACACAGTCTCATGAGGGATCTTTCAATTACAAAAGTAGAAAACAGTACATAAGAAACCTGGGATCACTTCTGGTGTATAGGTGCGTTCGTGGATGAAGTTGGGAAGGTATTTAAGCGTCAAGTTTTTCCCATTATGTAAGGAGAAGCAAGTTTTTTTTGTGTGTAGTTTTCTATCTTATAAGTTTACACTGTCAAGAACAAGGAGAATAGGCATAGCAGACCTTGTTATATCTGTGAAAAGCTTTATTGGACAAAAAGGTTGTAGTTCAGAAGGGATGTGTGTGGAGTACTGCAATTCATTTCTGTGTAACCATGAATTGTGACAAAGGGATTTTATTCTCCTGTATCTTAAAGTGAGATACAACTGTAAGACTTATAAAAAAATTATTCATACCTCATATTAAACTGAAATACTTTTGTTGCAACTTGAATTTTAGGGAATCAGACAAAAGCCAAAGCAAATTGTTCCTTTATCACAAGTGTGCAGCCTCCTGTTTGCTAGACTTGGCCTGCAGGAAGGAGAATTCCAAAGATGGAAAGAATTAACATGTTCCTGTCCTGTATAGATGCTCAGCTTTGAAACTGACTATTTAAAAAGAAGTAGAAAATGTAATCAGGCCCAGACGGTATAGTAATCAATTACAGTGCCATCTATCTGGACTTCTGCAAAGCTTTTGATGTGGTTCCTCACCACATCCTTCTCTCTACGTTGGAGAGGTGTGGATTTGAAGAATGGACTGTTTGATGGATTAAGAACTGGTTGTCTGGTCACAGCCAAAGAGTTGTGATTGACAGTTCTATGTCATGGTGGAGGCCGGTCACAAGTGGTGTCCCCCAAGAGCTTGGTCTTGGGACTGGTGCTCTTCAACATCTTTATCAATGACATAGATGATGTCACCAACTGCACCCTCAGCAAGTTTGTAGATGACACCAAGCTGAGTGGTGCAGTCAATACATTGGAAGGAAGAGAAGCCATCCAGAGGGACCTGGACAGGCTGGAGAACTGGGCCCATGAAAACCTAATGAGGTTAAACAGGACCCAATGCAAGGTGCTGCACTTGGGCTGGAGCAATCCCAGATATTTGTACAGATGGAGGGAAGAACACCTTGAGAGCAGCCCTGCAAGAAGGACTCTGAGGTCCGGTTGGATGAGAAGCTGTACCTAAGCCATCAGTATGCGCTTGCAGCCTGAAAGGCTATCTGTGTTCTGGGCTGCATTAAAAAAGGGGTGGCCAGCAGGGAGAGGGAGGTGATTGTCCCCTCTACTCAGCTCTTGTGAAGCCCCATCTGGATTACTGTGTTCAGGGCTGGGGACCCCAGTAGAAGAAAGATGCAGAACTCTTGGAGTGGATCCAGAGGAGGACCACTAAGATGATCAGAGAGCTGGAGCACCTCTCCTATGAAGAAAGGTTGAGGGAACTGAGTTTGTGTGGCTTGAAGAAGAGAAGACTCCTGGGAGATCTTATTGTGGCCTTCCAGTACTTGAAGGGAGCGTACAAACAGGAGGGGGAATGGCTGTTTACATGTGTTGATAGTGGTAGGAAGAGGGGGAATGGTTTTAAACTGAGGCAGGGGAGGTTTACGTTAGATATTAGGAGGAAGTTATTCACAAAGAGGGTGGTGAAATTCTGGAACAGCTTGCCCAAGGGGGTTATGGATGCCCCATCCCTGGAGGCGTTCAAGACCAGGCTGGATGTGGCTCTGGGCAGCCTGGTCTGGTGGTTGGTGACCCTGTACACAGCAGAGTATTGAAACTAGATGATCACTGTGACCCTTTTCAACCCAAACCATTCTATGATTCTATGATACAGTTGTAGTATGAAGTCAGATTGATGTACATACCACACATAATATGTAGGTATAAGTCCATATTCAAAACCTTCCTCTCAAATTTTAGCGAATTTCTTGAAGTCATTCTTTCTCATAAATTTTATTGAAGAGTAAGTAATAAGGGCAATTCATGCAAAACAGGATCCTCGAGGCCTAAACTTAGTAAAGTCTGGATTCATTCTTTGAAAATTGTCCTGTTAGAAAATTTCCAACTTGCACAATTATCAGTGTTTCAGTATGTCTGCTTCAAAAATACAGCCATCATTAGAAATAAATCTCACTGTATATGAACTGTGATCTGCAACAACAAAGAATCTGTAATTTAGGTATTTTTCAAATAAGCTTTTGTGCTAGACATTTCAACTAAATCCACAGAAACTACCTTAGATGTAAAGATATAACACATAGAAAACATTTGTACTAAGTATGTTGAAATCCATGAGCTCTCATTATTGCAGTGAATATATGCTCATACTTAGAATCAGTTTACTTACAAAGTTTACTTTCGGGTTCAGTAAACTTTCAGGTAAATATTGTTTCTCTTCTATATTTGTAGGAGCTTGACATCATTGGACTTCTTATCTCAACCAGAACTTTAAGATCTACTATGATGCAAATATCTGTTGCTAATGTGCCAAATCTGTGTGTTTTACCCTATAATATTCAGTGATTCTTTATGTTTTGTTTTTTTTTAATCCTCTGATAACTATATTGATCCATGAGAGAAAAATAAAAAAAGACGTAACGATGAGTCAGGTATTTGAAAAAGACTTAGAAAAAGAGGAACCATTAGGAATTGTTTGGTTAGCAAGCAAAATATTTTTACTTTTGGTCACCTGTATGGTAACTGTTGAGTCATGGCCTGAACCACTGATTGAGCACCTGGAAAAAGGGATTGGGTCATCCTTGGGAGCACAGGTGAAGATGATTCACCTGCACGATAGGAAGGGCTGTAGCCTGGCTTCACCTCTCTTAGACCTCATTTAAGGGCTGACTTCCACATAGGAAGGGTCTTTTAATGGGGGTCTGTTGTTTGTGGTGTTTTTCAGCAGCCTAAATCTTTGGATGTGGGAGAGAGCATTCTTCTTTTTGTTAGCGTCTTCTCATTGGGCTGTTCTGGCTGCTATAGTGCTTAACTTTAAAAAGCCAATGTTATAACAGTTTAACTGTAGAACAGTCAGCTGCTATTTGCAGCTCATCTGCATAGAACTCCTTCCACAGAAGTCTGGAAAAAAAAATAAGTCTAATGATGTAGCAGTGTAAGGTTTTCATTAGAAGTACTCATGCTAAATTGAGATTTGTTTTCAGGGAAACTTGAAAGGAATTCAGGAGATTGAATGAAATAGAGCTTTTTCACTTTAGACTTTGTAGTATTTATTTCCTGATTTACTGTCTTCTTGTATCATTAAGAGGAAGTGCTGCTCTTATACGTTTTCTCAGCACAACTGGAAATCCTGATTATCTTTTCAGTCTCATACTGTCTTCAGACTTAGATTCAAATCCTTACAGATTTTGAAGCATTGTCTGCCTTTTATTAAAGAGTAGACCAGGGTTCCCTCATTTTATATGAGAATTTGGCAGAATTAGATACTGATGCTTTGCAGAGTGGTTCACAGTGGGAATCCACTCTTTAGAAATATATTTTGAAGATTTCATAGACTATCCCAGTTAGAAGGGACCCTCAAGGATCAAGTCCAAGTCCTGCCTCCAAACAGGACAACCCCAAAATAAAACCCTATGTCACAGATTCATACAAAAAATGTAAGATATTTTTTGTTTTCATAGGGTATTGAAATCTTTTGTAATCTACCTTTCTGGTTCCCTGATTTTCTGACTTCCTAATTAGGGCAAGTTAAAAAATTGTCTATACTTTTAAGTCTTCAGTAGGCAAACTTATATTAAGCTTGAAACTTAAACAGCTTTTTGCATTATGCCTGTTGCTTGCTGAAATATGCAGTACATGCTACTGGGTCACAATATGGCATTTTGTTGCAGAGGTATCCATCTATTGAAATGAATGATACAAAACCAGCCCTATTGTCACCCCTCTTTTTTTGTACAGACCTATTTGTTTATTATATGCAAATACAGTTGCTATGGAATCTTGATTGTTTTTGTGAGAATGAAGTTTAGTAAACACTGTCGTTTCTGGGGTCTACATTTAAGGTTAAAAAAAACTGCAGGGCAGCTGTATTCAACTATAAAGGCAAATGAAGTTGAGGGTCTTTCTGAAGTATTTGCGGAAGAGTGGTGGTGTTTCCATTTTCCACCTTGTATTTTTAACAAAATTACTTTATCTGCCTTCATATGTTAAATCCAAATAGCAATGATTTTTATGTTGTTGTTTCTTTCCTTCCCCAGATGTACATCCAGACAACAACACTTACTGTCTCCATGAGTTTAAGTGCTTCTGTGTCTCTGGGCATGCTCTACATGCCCAAGGTTTATATTATCATTTTTCATCCAGAGCAGAATGTTCAAAAACGGAAGAGGAGCTTCAAGGCTGTAGTGACAGCTGCCACAATGCAAAGCAAACTGACCCAAAAAGGAAATGACAGACCAAATGGCGAGGTCAAAACCGAACTATGTGAAAGTCTTGAAACCAACAGTAAGTCATCTGTAGACTTTCCCATGGTCAAGAGTGGCAGCACTTCCTAATAGATGTACGTTCACAAGAATGCACTTTATTGTAATAATGAACTTTATTCTTTTTATTACTTGTGCATGAATCCAGAGATGTGTCAGAATTCATATACAGTTGAATGCATATAGTCGAAAATAATTATTTCTATCTTTCCTCCTTAATATGTTTTGTTGTTCCTTTATCACAACTCATGAGCACTAACATCTCCCATTTAAATCCTTCCCATCTGAGTATTTGTTGTGGTTTAATTCATTTTGATACAAAAACATGGTAATTCCTATACAGCTTTATCATTACATGTTCCAGTTTGTCATGGGTTAGCTCTAGGAAGAAGTTCTTTCCTGTGTCAGAAAAGCTCTTGAATCTTGCCACTTCTCTAAAGTACTCTGATATAGAAGAGAGGTTGTATCTTCCATTGTGCTGCATGACATACGAGCTGATAAACTGAACTTCATAATAATGACTAATAAAATATGAGTACAACTGATTACTTAACCCACAGAACTCAGCAGTAGTGGAGAATCAGTAGAGAATTTATTGAGGAGTTAAATGACACATGGCTTATACAGAATCTGTTGAAGACTAATTTTTCAAGCATTTTACTGTAAATGAGATTTTCTGAAATTTCATTACTTTCTGATGATGTTGACTGAAAACTGAATAGTACTGAATAGTACCCTTTTGCTTGAGCACTTTCAGAGAAGTACCAAGCTTGAAGCAAAATGTCATACTTATTTCATAAAAATTCAGTTCTCACTGAATCAACCAGGGCATGCCAAATTGAAGAGTATATATGAATATTCCATGGGTTTACTGTGCTACAGTTGCTGAGTGCAAACTAATTCTCTTGCAAAACCCATGACCCTTCAAAATGCATAAATTCTCTGGATTGAGTGAATTTATACAGCTTCAGATTTGCACATATGACAAAAGACAGGGAAAAGGTTGAAATTGCTTGTGGATGAAATTGCATCATGGAAATGTGAAGAACACATAATTTCTAAAATCTTCAGGAGTGTCCAAGAGAAAATTCAGAAGGGAAAGAGAAATGGATTTTACCAAGTTTGGAAAATAGTCAGCTTCTGAGGAAACGCCAAACGAGGGATTCCACAGTAGGGTGAAAGAGAGAGCAGGAAATATAGTCTTGAGTATCTGATACTTATCTACTGTATTATCTAATTAAGAAATGCTGTGTCTGGTATTCTTTAAACTATGATTATGCATAATTCATGAAAACAGCTGCTGTTGGAATCAAGTCTGTTCCTCCAGTAGCATGATGTATGCAGGATAATGAGTGTTTACTGGGCTCTGAATCTGATTTTGACAGTAGTACATCAATATAATTTTGAGCTCGCTAGGAACTCTTGACTAGGCTTTGATCCAGGCATCATAATGGTCCATAGGCAAAAATTCAACTCAAGTCATTTGCACTCCAGACTGCAGTCCCTCTATAATTGAGCTTTGGCCTTAAGATGCTTTTCTGTCTTCTCAGAGTGTTCCCTACTATTAGAATTTGTTCACCTGTTTCTGCCAAAATAGGTACTGTCAAAACTTTTGGAGATTCCTATGAGTTCCTGGTGCACAATGGGAGATTAATCCTTTTCACTAGGTCAGCAGTGACAGGTTCTCAATATTGCAGAATTTCTTCTGCTGTCACAATTTGAGAAATCAGTCACAGCATATGAAACTGAAGCAGGCTATTCCTAGTATTCCAGAAGTGGGTAGTGAGTGATTTCTTCTCTTTCCTAATCATAAATACTGGTAGAAATAATTATCAGCACAACAAAATGAAAAACAAGATAAGATGGTCAGTTAATTCCTTTAGTTTCATGTCCAGTTCTACTCTCTCTGGCTCGTCCTCTTCCATGTACATAGCCTCCTTTCTCCACATGAACTGACATCTTTTTCTGGAAACACATTCATAATCAGTGGAAAACAAAGTGTATCTGCTAAATGAAATGACAAAGAAATCACAGAATTGTAGGGGTTGAAAGGGACCAAGACCATCGAGTCCAGCGCCCCAAATAATAAATAAATTAAATTAAAAAAATAAAACAAGACAACACAAAACCATCTAGAAACAACTATAGAAGGCATAATAATGGCAAGTACTTGAGATTCATATAGGTCAGTTCCCAATTATAGTTCTAAAATACTTTAGATCATCTTTTTATTTTGTTCTTTTTCTTCTTTGTCTCATTCCAACAGCAGTGTAGTAACTTGAGATAGAAAAGAATGTTCATTCCCTGATATATTTTGAGCCAAGTTTTTGCCTTTTCTGGCTAAGCTTGCCAAAATATGGTGTGTTTTATTACTGTGAAATACTCACAGTCTTAGAGAGCAGGACACCAGCTGCACAAGCTTTCAGATTCCCACACAGGCACCATAGGCTTATTACAGTGAACTTTAAAGATGCTTTAAGTATTAAACAAGTGAAAAAAAATGCTTGTATACCATATTAAATTTGACAGATTTTGAACTAGGATCTATATTAACTTCTTCTGTTGTCATTCTACTAAAATCACAATGCTCAGTATTCAGCAGGATAATTTTTGTGTCTTGATCAGTCCCATGTTAATTTTGTCAAAAATGTTGAGTTTCAGACAGAGTCAAATGGTGGCAAATTAACAAGTTCATTAATTAAAAATTAACAATGCTCTAAATTAGTTGAGGTAACTACTTATTTTTGTGTTCTGAGTTTCTTGAAAATGTGTTCAAATAATTCAGCTTACTGAGTTGTGATAAATCTGATTATATTGTATCACCGTGGGCTAAAAACATACACATGAAAAGTTACAGAACTCAGCTGATACAGGGTAATGTGTTAAACTAGCTTAACCTGATCGCTTATCTGAGCTTATGTTCAGAGTGAAGGAAAAAATAAGCTCTGCTTCCTTTTGTTCCCAAATGTGCAGAGTTTGCAGATGCTCCTTTATTTCTTATTTCTTTTGTGGGAACAAAAGCTTTTTATGCTCTAAGGAACTTGATGCCATTTCAGCTGTTCTATATTATTCTCACAAGGAACTTAAAGGGCCAAAGGGAAAAAACAGAAACTACTCAGAAATCCAGCTGTGGGAGCATGGGAGAGTTTAGATGGCACCACTGCATCCCATCTGAAAGATCTGAAATTTGTAAATAAGGCTGCATTTACTTTGAGTGTCCCAATGTATAATATATAATATATAATATATATTAAAACTGTAATATATATATATATAATATATATAATTGTGAATATATTATAAAGCTGTTTCATGTTGGTGCTGGAATACCATGGTTGATCAGCAGACTTATTTCAAAGATTTGCTTCATATGCTTGGAGCAAGCTTGAATTAGCTTTTTGAGACAAAAAGTGCTTCCAGACATGAAGTTCTCCAGTACACTCGAGCTACATGTGCAAGTGGGAGTAAAAAATATTTCATTTTGCATCTTCCTTTCAGTTATTAATTCCTGTATATAAATAATTAGGGGGGGAAAATGCAGTGATGAATTACAATGGCCTGATTCTGTTTTGTCATTAAAAAAAGAGAGAGAGAGAGAGAGAAAGAGAGAGAAATGCAGTATTAGAATTGAGTTGAATTTATCAGAAACTCTAAGAAAATGTAAAGGAAATAGCAAGCATAATTATTTATATTACAAAGTAATATTTTACAGTAATTTAAGCCAAAGGAGGTGCCATTTCTTGGTGTCTATATTGTGTTCTTTCAAAAGCATCAGATCATCTTATCAGGCTAGATTTAAGAGATAGCATGAAGAATTATTTTCCTATTTCAGATGTTCCCATTAGAATCTACATAGGGGGAAAAAAAAGAAAAAAAAAAAAAAAAGAAAGAAAAAAAAAAAAAAAAAAAAGAAGAAAGAAAATAAGATAGTTAAAATCTTTGAATCTATAGACCCAAGCATTTTTGTGCCACCAAATTACTATCATACTGCCAGCTTCAGTCTTCCTTGTCCTAAGAACATGTCTGTAGCAGATGAGATATAAAACATACTTGGGGAACAACATTGATCTTTATGTACCCTGACCTAAAACTTATAAAGACAAAATAGGGAGAGAGAGAGAGAGAGAGAGAGAGAGAGAGAGAGAGGCTGGACTCCTAGTCTCTCTTCCATGTACCCAATTGGTTTGCAGACAGGGAGCCACCTGTGAGACCTGATATACCTGACTTTCCTCTTCCCATCACTATATTTATACAGCAGTAGAAACTTGGGTCACATTCTTTTATGGCAAGGGATAAATTATAAGGGCTAAAAGCTAACATAAAATTCAATGTAAAATTCATGGTTGTTACTTTTTGATACTGTTTTTAAATTTTTCAATTTATTGTTTCATTTTGAATGAAAAATATCAACTTAACCCAATCCCAAAAATGACCATCAGCATAAGGACATCATAATAGTATGGCAGCTGTAAAACACAAGGCATTCTTGCTGGAGATGTTTTGTGTTTGAAGGATATACAGAAAACAGGAGCTGTATTGCTGTAAGCACTAGCTACTAGCTTTGACAACTAGGTAGGCACTCCAACACTGCCTGCAAAGTTGTCTGCAATTAGCAGAAAAATAAGGAAAACAAACAACAACAAAAACCAACAATCCAAAAAACAACTTATATTTAAATTCTGTATAGAATTCCAAAATAATACTTGACAAACTGTAAATTGAAATTCTTTTAAAGGAATTCTGAAACCAGTAGTAAAGCACAGCTACTAGCAATTCTGATGAAAGATACAGAAAAATCAAAATACTGTAGAAAAAGTTCCCCAAGTCATAAACAAAAGTTATCATACTGAACACAAAAGTTAAGATCAAACTATCTTATTGCTTACATACATGCTTGAACTTTCTTAATTTTTTTTTCCATGAACATTTAGAAATCCATTGAAATGCTGAGTTCAAATACTAAATGTATTTCTTTCTCTCTTCTTTCTAAAAAACTGAATTTTTGTTTGTTTTGTTTGTTTGTTTCTTTACAGCCTCCTCTACCAAGACAACTTATGTCAGTTACAGCAATCAGGCAAACTGAGCAGGGATGAAATTAAATGGAAGACCACCAGGATGGGATCTTGCAAAGAAAGACTTTACCATCACCAGAATTCAGTCCTGGAAATATCAGTAGTCTACATTCAAATCAATAGTCAGTCTCCTAAAGAACAAGGATTAAACAAGAGGCAAAAGGCAAAAAGAGACAGGGGAAGGAAAAGTCCTGTTTTATATCATATATAGACAGTGTCAAATCTCTGAACTGTTCACTCACAAAAGGAAGTAAATCACAAAAGGAAAACAAATGTTAGCTTGTGAAAAAAATGCTGTTGAAATAAATCATGTCTGATGTTATATTTGTAAGTACTTTTTTGTGATTGTGACAATTTCCTTTCCTGTCCTACATTGTTCAACTTGTAAAAGAAGAAGAGTTTGTTTCTTGTGATGGCTGACTGAATTAAGTCCTGGGTTATGCTAAAATAAATGCAATGGTCAACGCATGCTAATTTTTATACAAAATAATTTATTTCTAATAATAAAGGAATGTTTTGCAAATGTTGAGACTTGTTTTGTTGCAGTTTTAAGAAAAAAAGAAGTCCTTACACTGTTGTCTATTGTTTGTTTAGAATGTGCAGTAAAGGTGGGTGTACAAATAAAGTAATAATCATGGCATCAGAAGAATGCAGTGTAAACTCTAAGCATATGTGCGTGTGTATGTATGTGTGCACGTGTGTGGGTGTATGTACGTGCATGCCTGCATGCATGTGTGTGTGTACTCTGCAGTGTGTGAATTTATTTGTTCAAAATTTTGTAACTATATTTTCTAATGGAAGGATTTCCCCACCCCCTCCCCCCCCCTTCTAACCCTCAAAGTAAGTGCATTTTATATGTTTGTAAAGTGAACGAGTCTTGATGGTGATTATTTTGTATGATTGTATTATATTTTTGAACCTCAACTAATAACTCTGATCCTCTTCATTTATGGAACTTACAATTTGTAAGAATATATGGCAGCTAGACTGGATTAATCTTAAAATTTATTCAGCCTAGTATTCTGTCTTTGACAGGGAATGTAGCAGATGCTTATCTCAATAAAGGTGACTGAAATTACAGGAGAGAAATCAATTGAAAATTTGGAAAGCAGTAACCTAGCGTATATATAAACATTGTTGCCCAATGAACGCTTAGAAGTCAAAGAAATAGATGCCCATAAAATATTTCACATCTTCTAACCTAACATGTTAAATGATTGTGTGTGCATTAGAAATGATTACAAAAATAGATAAATTCATATAGATATCTATCATGTTAATAAGCCCTTCCAAAGAAGATTAAAAGAGACAGCTAGGGACTGTCAGTTATTACCGTATCTGTGATGACTTTTTCACTCCAGCATTTACCACCCATCAGGCCAATGGATCTTCACAATCAGTTGGTTATTAAATGTTCTTTCTCCTGAATTTGTCTGGATGGCTCCTTGTGCTTTTTTTTCTCATAGGAGCTGTATTGGAAACATAGCCTACAGAAGCCATCTAAATCCTCAATTACATTGTTTGATGAATTAAAGTATCTGAAACTGAATCACTTCCTGTTACAATGTCAACATTTAAATACCAGCACAGTTGGTAAATGTCAGTGGATTTTGATTTTCAAAATACTGAAGAGAAGACATAGGCTTTTTTGTTGTTGTTATTTTATTGTTTTTGTTTTGTTTTCCCCGGTATTTATATTAAATCATAGACTGAGGAATGCTATGGCATAATGTGGTATAGTGTAGCATAGTGTGCCTGGTATGTGTCTTATTCCTTGATTTCCCACAAGTACACCAATCCCAACCCTGTGAACTAACATATGCTCGATGTAAAGCCTGCAATTAATGAAGCTAATATAATGAGACTTACTTATACAACCAAAACTAAACTGATCTGGGAGAAAAAAGGCCCTCAAAACCCTATTCATTGTTTTTGACCAGCAAATATCAAACTGAACTATCTTATGTAAATGGACTAGATCAATATTTTTACAGACAGATTTCCATATTTATTATAAACTTCCTAAGATAGATTTTTTTTTTTTTTAATTTTTTAATCTGAAAACCAGTGTTTTGGTACAATTTCTTTTCAAATAAACATTTGAAAAAATTGCTTTTCAGTTCACAGTAAAACAAGTTTCAAATTTTTTGTCTATTACATCTTTATATGATGACACGTATAACCGTATGCATTCGAAAGAAAAACAGTTTACAAGAAATGCGTTTTTGACACACTTCATTTTAGCATAAACACGTTATGAATAAACGTAAACGCATTTTATATGCAGATAAAGTGTAGTGTGTGAATCTTCTAGTTTCACAGTAGTCCAAAGAAAATGTTGTTCTGAATAGATTTACCAATACACACCCTTTTTAGTTGAAAAGCAGGGTAGAAGTAGCCTGTTATGCACATTGTCTGTGCATTTTCTGTCTTTCTGTCTAAAACACAGAGTATATGAGGGTTTACCAGTCTCACTAGCATTAATAACTTACTAGAAAAATGAGCCCACAGTCATTACTTAATAAACAGCTCATATGCACTATGCGACATAACACTACTAGTCCACAAGTTTCACTTCCACAGGGTGGTTATGTGCAGTTTATCTATGTCCATAGAACACTGCATGCCTGTCCCCAATGACAGTAATCAAAATCCCATTTCTTCTTGTATCACTTTACAGCTGTGGATGAGCAATACATGTTATTTCATAAGTGAAGTTCATCTTTGTTCTTTTTGAGTTTGGAAGACTTTTCATACACAGATAACTGTAGTACCTAAGATTTATTAATTATTTTTTTTCTGGCAACCTCTTATGAGTTCAAGATAGTGTCTTCAGGTGTCTGTAAATCCCACTTTTTTGCAATAGGTTGCGTTTGATCTACAAGTCCTACCTTGCTGGCTCATTCAGCATTATTAATTTTTTTGACCCCATATGAGCTCTGCTTGAGGACAGTTGCTTTAGAGGTCTGCAGTCTCTGATGTACCTTTCTCAGCGTCATTGGTGAACACAAATGTTTCAGAGGAAGGAACAAGATATTTACAACAATTAGTTCTAATTAAGTTGTGTGGTCCTTATTGATCTTTTTTCCCCATTTTATCTGTTCCCATAAAAACTGACCTCCTAGAAAAAAAAAAAAAAAAAAACATCTATGAGAAAAGAAACAGAACAATAGTTGGGGAAAAAAAAAAAAAAAAAAAAAAAAAAAAGCTATAATTTTGGAACACAGTTATAAAAAAGGACAAACTTCAGAAAAAATGCTTCCACTGTTCCGTACTTTTTATATTACAAGGTCCATTTTTTATGAGAAGATTGGGGGAATTCAGTCAGCAATGAGAAGAGAAATCCCTGCGGAGTCCGTTGTTATTGTGCCTTTGAATACTCACACAGCTGCCTCATTTTTCTTCTCTCTGTGAAATAGCCATCACTTATTCTTTTTCTACAGATACTTCACTGCTTTTTTAAAAAGCCTCTGATTCTTGATCTACCTCTTTCTGCTCTTTATTATATTACAGTGCAATTCACAAAGTTACACTTAAAGCATTACAAACATTTCCATTGTGAATGGTGACATCTAACACACAAAGATTCTGCAGCTTGAAACATGGCATGCATTTTCTTTCTCCATATGCAAAAGTGTACATGTTAAAAAATAGAACCATTTTCCCATTTAAGCTTTTATTAACATTTTTAAAAGCATTACAATTAATGAAAGTCTTACCTTTAAATTACCAGATTTGAGATCAGGCATCAGATGATTAATCATTAAAGTAAACTGTAGCTGTTAAAAACTATTAACTTTGAATAAATCGTTGTCAAGTGAAGCTACATTACTACGTATCAACTTTAATTATATTTTTGTTGATGTTTAAATCCCATAATACTCCTTATGCGTACACATGACTCTGGTGTGTACATAACTTGGGTTTTTAAAAATATCTGTGCAATTTAGGTTTTATTAAATGGTGTTATGGGAATGCTAAGCTGGATCTTCTTTTGGCCTTACTTTCAGAGACACAGCCCATTCTTAAATACCTTGTCTTTACTAGTATCTGAAAGGGTACAATAGCTGGAGTTTCAGAGGATCAATTTTAACTGATGTAGTACAAATGTTGTGGGGAAAAGAACCAAAGAGCCAAATCATTCAAGGAATTTAGACAGTGGTGGCCTCAATATTGTTTGGAGTGACTGAAGCTGAATTTCTCAGTACCTAGATGAAGGTCCGGGTTGGTGCCCGAAGAGGGGAGACAGGATGAGCCATTTGTTAAAGGCACTTTTTTTCAACAGTGAAGAGGTTCCAGTGCATTCCATATTGTGCACAGGGTTCCTTTGGTAAAGATTTACTCTCTCCCACTCTACCATAATCTCATGCAAACCCCAGCAATACACTATATTCTAAAGTGTTGATCCAAAGCCAAGTTCACAGTACGAGACATTAGTTAGAATCACCGACAGGGACTGGATTATTTCTAGCCCACGTGGTAACCTGAAACCACACAACAGCTTATAAATCAGATGGGGAATACACAGTTGGGCAATACATTCCAACCTAGTTTTCCTTGGAAGAAACCACAGTTGCGGAGAATGAGAATCTGGTGGGAAGGCAAAAAGCCTGCGTAGTGACTGAAGAATTATGCTAATATGAGCCTGAGGGGTGTGGCTTATGCATGTTTGTGAGATAGTGTCTGAAATACTGGTTGTCCAAGCTTGTTAAAGTCAAAGGAAGGAACAGTAAGGAACTAACAGTAGCTGAGATCTTGAAGTTTAGTAACTAAACTTTTGTGTAGGCACAAAAGTTTTTTTTGTCATACAAAAATTATAAAAAATCTTCAATGTGTAACCTTAGGGTTCAGTTCTGATCATGGAAAAGATCAGACTATAGTTTTAAAATTACTTTTGCTGGTCTTTTATGTACAAGCGTGCTGAAGCAATTCCATTAGGACACAAAGCTTTATTTTTCTGAAATCAAAAACAAGACCTTAATGTTGTTTTGTGACTGCAGGAAAGATACAATGAAATCTGAATGACTCTATGTATCAGCTCAATGAACCAGAAATTAAACAGAATTTATAGGCAATACTTTAACGG